TATTATTATTATTATTTTTGGGGGGGGGGGGGTTCAAGACAGGGTTTCTCTGTGGAGCCCTGGCTGTCCTGAAACTCACTCTGTAGACCAGGCTGGCCTCGAACTCAGAAATCCGCCTGCCTCTGCCTCCCAAGTGCTGGGGTTAAAGGCATGTGCCACCACTGCTCAGCTTGAGCTCAGTTTTTTCACAGAGGTTTTGTGTAAAACTCTGACAGAAGGTTAGGGTCAGAGCACCAGCCTAGCATGTATGAGATCCTAGGATCCAGTCTCAGCTCAGGAAACAAACAAACCAATAAATAGAATAAAACGATCAAAAAACTGGGCAAGGGATGAAGGAGAAGCCTACTGCTCCATTTTCAGGACCTTCATCTTGTCCCTTGGAGAGAGAAATCAAGCTAGCATGTGTTTTTCTCTGCCCCACCCCCTTTTGGGTCCCAGCAATGGTCTTATGTCCTCTCTGAGGCAGCCTCTGAACCTCAAAGGCTGACCTGCACTCACTTCTCCCAAAGGTAAGTGTACTTTAGCTCTCTCAGAGTCTGTTCCACCCTTCCACAGATGGTGGCAAGATAAGTGTCCAGGCTGTTAGAACATTCCACCACCTGCCTCAGGCAGGAATCTCCCCCTGCCTGTCTTGCTCGGACTGTGACTGAAGAAATCTCTTCCCAGTCGTCCAAGTGGCCCGAGGCTGCTGTCTCCCTACCCAGAGCTCTGCCCAACATTACCTGCCCATCAACTATTACTTAGGGCTCAATGCCAAAGTGGAGGCCAGCCAGGTTGGAGGGCAGCCAGGAAGAAACAACACTAGTCTTTCATCCTGGCCAAGGCAACTCCTGAAGCCATCCTGGGGGCTCTAGGGGAAGGGAAAGGCACGGTTCTGGCCTGGTTGGTGAGCCTGGCAGGAACTTGGCAGAAGAGGCTGCCAGACACAAGATCTTTGCTGGTAAGACACAGACCAGGGTGCTCAGTCAGATGATGGGTCCTCCTGCTCAGGTTTCACTCTGAGTCAATGGCCCCCTTAGGCAGAGAGCCCCACCCCAGGGCCCACCCTGTGTGTCATCAGCCCCTCCCCAGTGCCCTCTGCACTGGCCGTAACACTCAACCGGATACACAATCCCATCCCCCCAGGAGGGTCACCCTGGCCTTAGCACAGCTCCCATTTCCTGCCCCTGGTGACTCCTCTGAAGTCTATTGTTCACATTGAGTTTGGGTCAAAGGAAGCCGGGTCCCCACCCACAGGGACCAGCCTGCCCACCCTGGCCACCGAGCTGGCCCACACCAAGGAGCTGGCCCATCCTCCTACCTTTCTGGAAGCTGGCCTGTATGACAAGCAAACAGATGGGCACAGATCTTGGCCTGGAGTTCTAGTGGGAAATTTCTCACGGATCCCAGCCCACCAGCTGAGAGGCCCGGGATCAACCACACAGGTGTGATTAGACTCTCCTCAGCATACAACCTTAAAGACCGCACAGGAAGGAAAAACTGCCACTTCAGGGTTACACTGGAGATGGAGACTCCATGCTCCCAGTCAGGCAGTAGCCTGCCCTGCCCCAACCTCCACCTGGGCCCCTGAGCTGGTGACACCCCCGCCCTCAGGGTGCCGGGGAGCAGCTGTTCAGCTCCAGTTTCATTGCTTTAAACAGAGCCGTTGTTCCTGCTTCTGCCAACAAGGGGTCAAGGGGAGCAGAGAGGTAAAGGCACCCTCAGGAGCCCTGAATTTCCAACTGCCACGGAGACTGGCCTCAGCTCCGGGAAGGGTGAGGTCCAAAGTCAGGGACTGATGTCTTCTACCTCCCCTGAGAAGGAAGAGACACAAGTTTGGCAATAGGTATTGCTTTGTGACAGTCACCAGCACAAGACCGCAGAATGGAGGCCAAAGGAGGCTGTGACATTTGCATCCTGGGAGATGGAAAAGATAGAGTTGGGAACTGAAAGCTCAAACCTGAGGCTCTGGGTTCATCCCTAGAACAGAGAAGCAAAATGATAGACAGAGTAGATGGATACATAGACAGATACATACATACATACATACATACATACATACATAGGTACATAGAGACATCAATAGATATGTATATATATATATACATACATATATACATAAATACATTGATATAGACATATATATTCATACATACATGCATGCATGCACACATATGTACATATATAGCATACCTCCCCACACACCTGGCAGAGTAATGCCTAGACCTTTAGACGAAGGAGAATAGATTTGAAAGCTGTCCTGATATCCTCCCAGGCTGCCATGCTTGTATCCTACCATAGGGTAGTTAGCTGTATACTTTCTGCTGGGATGCAAGAGAAAATGCCTGCCTGAACCATCTATCTGTATCACCAGATGGTAGACACCACCCGAGTCAGACTGTTACAGTCTCCACACCCATTAGATGAAAGTGGATAGGGTCTCGGGACCCAGATATTGGGCTCCAAAAAGCAGGAGACATAATCCAAAGTGAAGAACTTGGGCTCCAGTTCCAACTCTGCCACTCAGACCTTGTGCGATCCTAAACACGTTATGGTCCCTCCCCAGGTCTCAGTTTCCCCACGAAGGGGCTGGACATTGACAGAGGCTCCGACAGTGCTCAGCAAACATGTCCTGAGGGCAGGTAAAAATGGAAGCGAGAATACGGGCGCTGGAGAATTATGTTACCTAGGGGCATAATTCATAAGGGAAGCCTCCCCATGGCACTGCACCCACAGCAAATGCCCAATTCACATTGGCAAAATAAATATGACATGTGCTGAGGTTTCCCAAAGGGTGCCCAGAGAACAATCACGCAAAATCCTTTAGTCTCACATGTTACAAGACCCCGGGTCCAACCCTCAACCTGGAAAGGGGAAGGGGGAGGGGGTTTACCGAAGCAAGCTTAGGAAAACATAGGCTACACCATCTCCAGGGGCCTTGGGGATGTGCTAACAGATTCTTTATTTTCAGAGCAAGCTTTCTGCACAGGTTTTAGTTGCTCACCCCCATCCCCACCCCCACCCCCAGTGTTACTCATCAGGAAACGGAGCCCAAGCCTTCCTTAAAGGTAGCGAGTATCAAGCTGTGTGTTTCCTAACCCCATGAGAGCTGCTCTTGTAGACACGGCCTGAGCCAGTATGGAATATGAGGTACGTCCCAGTCAGAGTGTCTAATCTACATCAGCAGGATAGAAGGAAAGATAAACACAATAGCCCCTACCCCGCCTCCTGACAGGTTCTCTGTTCCTTCCTTCCGAGAAACCCTAACCATCACCTCCTTGTGTAAATGATGGACAGCTCTGATACCAAGTCTGTACTCTCCGGTCAATATCCTGGCCTCAGCTACCGGGTCGGTCCGAGGAGCCCTCACCTTCCCAACTGTCACTAAAGCACTCCTACAGAGACTGCTCAAGTTTCCACACAGAAGCAAGGCAGCCTCCCTAACTGTGAAGAATGAGGGGGGAAGCTGAGGCAGAGGATCATCCACTTTGAACATCCAGCCTGTGTTCCAGAGCAAGACCCTGGCTATCGAGGAATGAGAGATTTTCTCCCCCTTGTTGCTTCAAGGTTCCCACTGACACCCCTTTCCTTGAAGCCAACTTAGAAACACTATCAATCGCCTAACAAACACTATCCAACATCCAAATCGGTCAACTAAGCCTGGTGACTCAGGCCTGTAATTCCAGCACTTGGAAGGCTGAGGTGAGACTGCTGTGAGTTCAAGGCCCACTTGATCTTTTGAATCCGTCTCAAAAAAAAAAAAAAAAAAAAAAAAAAAAAAAAACAGAGAGAGAGAAAAGAAAGAAGGAAAAGCCGGGTGGTGGTGCATGCCTTTAGTCCCAGCACTTGGGAGGCAGAGGCAGGCGGATTTCTGAGTTCGAGGCCAGCTTGGTCTACAGAGTGAGTTCCAGGACAGCCAGGGCCGCACAGAGAAACCCTGTCTCCAAAAACAAAAACAAAAAAAAGAAAAGAAAAAAAAATGTTTTGAGGCAGGAGAATGAATGCCACCTCCTGCTAAGGCAGTAGTACCAGGCCAGCCTAGACTACAGAAGACTTCTGTCTCAAAAGAAAACAACCTAACAAGCTCTTTTCCTTTTAGGGGGTCCACCCCCATAAACATTACCAACAACCCATTCTAGCCCCTAAGGGCAAAGATCTTAGCTTTGCTTAGCCTACTAGCAGTTCCCTAAAGGATTCTGCCAGAACAGGATCCACACTCCCTCAGAACGACAGCTGCCTGGAAGGGGGGCAGGTGTAGGCAGCTTCCTGCCAGCAATGCTCAACCCAGCGGGGATGGAGTGAGGAGGGGGGAACAACTACTACTGTCAAATTCACCCTGAACACAAAGAACTTGGAGACATTGTCCCCTGCTCAGGTTCTTCAGGAAGAAGTCAGAGCCAGAACCAACATCCTCAGAGCGACGACGGTCTTGGAGTGGAGGCATCACACACCCACTCCGACACACAGGGTTTCAGACAGCACCCTCTTCAAGTAGCAGTGCACCCACTGCCGCGTTTAGCACAAACAAATACACCTCCTGAGAGCAAGGTGAGTCACAGCACACAGATATCTCTTCCTCAGGTACACCCAAAAACTTAAGGATGCTGGCGCAGTAATACCTTGCTTGAACTCACTGAATCGGACGGAGCGTGGGTGTGCCTGGAGCCCCCTGACACGTGTGTGCACCGCGGCGCGCCCCTGGGCTGCCTGCTAGGGTACAGAGCCTTGGAGTTTGGGAGCTCTGGTCCATCACTTCTCACCGTGGGGAGCAACGGCGTCTCAAACCTTGGGGAACCTCTGCAAAAGGTCCAGGCAACACACCTCCCTTATGGGCTCTCCAGGCTGAAAAGTAGAAAAGGGCCTGGCTTTGGCTCCTTAAGTCTCCAGCTTCTAAAACTTCAGCCAGGCGACCCTGCTCTGCCCAGCCCCTGGACTCCACCACCCGCACGTGCTCCACTGGTCCTCTACTGCTGCCCGGGACCACGAGGGACGCGGATGTCGTCCGAACTCAGCAGCCTTACCGGTCCCAGGGTTCAGGAGGCGGGGTGGGAGCGCTCGGCCGGGTGCAGCAGGTCCACGCGGGGCGCCAAGTCTTCCAGCCGCGGCGACGGCAGCGGGGCCCGAGCGCGTAGCAGAGGCGGTCCCCACCCCCGGGGCCGGAGTTTGCAGAGGAGCCCGGCAGGAATGCGCGGAATGGGCGCTGGAATGAGACGCGCGCGGCTGGGGAGGGAACGGAGGGAGTGGCGCTGCCACCCGCACCTTAGGGAGGAGACCCGGTCGGAGAGAGGCTGGGCTCCGCGGCTGGGCGGGGCCAGGGGGACCGCGGCCGGCCACGGGACAAGGCACGGCGAAGACACCCGGGAACCCCGCGGACCCCTCTGCGCCTCCCGCCGCTCGCGCCCACACGCCTTGACTCTGATCTACGGATTTCCCGCTCTCATCCAGCTCCCCGCACCGCCGGGCGGCGTCGGATCCAGGCTGTCCCTCCACCACCTCCAGCTGAAAACCGTCCCCTCCGCCAGGGTGGGGCGCGCCTCGCTGCGCTCCAGGAGTACTCGGACGGGAGCAGGAAGGGCCGTTCCCTTCCCCGAGGCTGCTACGGAGGACACTCGCTCCGGGAGCAGGAAGCAGGAACTCCCGGCTCTGCTCCCAGATCCGCCACCGCTTTCCCTTGCCAGCCCTCCCCAACATCAGCCTTTCAGTTCTTTCCTTGTCTCTCGGGATCTGCAGAACTGTCACTTCTCAGAGAGCAGGGAAGAAAAGGGAGACGGGTCCTGGGCTCTGTTGTAACTCTGTAAATCTTTATCCTGTTAATAGGTCCACCGGATGCTGAGAGAAATAATAAAGAAAGATTAGGTCTCAGCAGTGGTTCACAGAGAGCTGGAACTTAACTGGTGACCAACCCAGGGTACAGGACAGCGTCGCCATGAAGTTAGAAGTCTGAGTTTCAAAGAAGCATGACAGATCAGTTTAGGAGAAACACGTGGGCTCGGGCTGGGAGTCTTTAGAACCATTTGGCTTAAAGCAATTAGTTACTACCGAACTCCTTCACTCGCCTTGTCACTTGGGAAACTTAAAATCAAAGCAGAAAAAGCCTTTGCTATTTCCCAAAGTCAAACAATCTCTGAAGCACTATCATTAAATTTTTATTGCTGTGGCTCCCCCAGTCTGATCTGGTGAAACAAACTCTTTCCGGAAGGCAGTAAATTTCCAGATTTATCTTATCGTTTGCCCAACACTGACAACACAAGATGGAGACATACATAATAAATGAGAGGTAGGGTAGCATGGAGAGGTTGAAAGAAAGTAGTATAAATGCCAGAGTTGTACCCAAGAGAGGTAATCTAAAGAGTGCGGAAATGCCAGCATCATGGGACCAGCCTTACAAAGTGAAGACTTTGAAGGATGTAGCCCTCATTTGGATGTATAAATTCTGGTATGCTTATTAAATAGTGAGTCATATCAAAGCTGGTCACATCCCATTCACATGAAAAGAACATGGAAAGGCACCGAACATATCTGTGAGCATGGAGTACAAACTGTCCCACCACTTAATCCAACCGTCCTTCATTGACTCTGACACTAAGCTAAGTGCGGAAACACGCCCTTGCCTTCAAGAAGTTCACTGTCCAAGAAAGACAGTAATTCACTAATGCAAATCCACATGAATTCAAGAACAAAAACAATGAAATTCAAGGCACAGGAGTGACTTTTTCCAGTTTGATGTCTAATCCCAGCCCTGTGTGTGCTAGGCAAAGCTCTACCACGGTGCTGTAGCCCCAGCCTTAGTTTGGTTTGGTTTCTGAGACCCGCCTATTAAGTTACTTAGGCTGACCTTGAACTCTGTCAGCTGCACCTGCCTCAGCCTTAGGAATAGAATAGGATGTACAGGTCTTTGCTACCAGGTCTGAGGGGCGACCTTGATCCAGCGTGAGTTTACCAAATGGTGTTTCAGGAAGGTTTGATGTGAAAAAGAGCCAAACGACTAGTAGGTGTTACACACCTGTGGTAGCACACACCTGAAATCCTAGCAGGCGCTGAAAACCAGCATGAGCCGAAGGGTAAGAGAGGCGGGTCCCAGACGGTGGGGCTCATACAAGCTGTACTGAGGATGTGACCGTCATCAAGCCCACTTAGGCTCAGGGCTCACTTTCTTGGTGCTATCATTAGACCCTCTGATGACTGTCTTAAATGTCATGCAGAGACTCCTGTCCTGTCCTAATTACAAGTGGTGATCCTGCGACTGAACACAGGCTCAGGATCTGGAAATGAAGGTAAAGTCGTGTGTGATCTGTGGATAGAGATTGTCTTTGAGGCTGAGACAGGAAGCGTTAACAGCAGGATAGTTGATCACCTCTCAACTGAAGTAAGAACTCTGGCCAGCTGTGGCCTGGTGGCCTGGTGTCAAGGGCCAGAGAAAGTTAAAGCAGGAAGATCAAGCATTCAAGGCTAGCCTGGACTATGCCTCAAAACTCTGCCTCAAAAATAAATATAGGGGCTGGAGAGATGGCTCAGAGGTTGAGAACACTTCCAGATGTCCTGAGTTCAATTCCCAGCAACCACATTGTAGTTCACAACTATCTGTAATGGGATCTGGTGCCCTCTTCTGGACGGCAGGCATATATGCCGGCAGAACAGGGTACAGAATAAATGAATTAATTAAATGATAAATATAATTAATGAATTTGAACTACAGGGGATTAGAATAATGTGGAAGAAGAGCCTGGCCATGCCAATGGGGATGCAGACAGGAGGACAGCCCTTCACATGCAACAGAGGAAGGTTGAAAATGCCTCTGCTTGCCTGCTTGCCTGCTTGCTTGCTTGCTTCTCTTCAAGACCATTGGGGATCCAAGCTGGAAAGTGTGTCCTCTCACGTCCTGGCTCATACCCTTATAAGCTTCTAGAGAGTTCTAGGTCTTTGGGCATTCCATTTTCTGAGCAGATGAAGATCATCTCAGAAGACCTCCAGCTACAGAAAACTAATTAGGTAGGTGCACCCATTCTGAGGGGCTGGTGACTGACAGTGATTTTTTTTTGATTGATGTGTATTGTGTGTGCCTACATACACACAGGTACCACACTAGGCCAGAGGATGTCAGATCCCCTGGAGCTAGAGTTACAAGTGATGGTAAGTGCTGGGAGCCAACCCCGAGTCCTCTACAAGAGCACTCAATAACCACTGGGCCATCTTTCCATGCCCCAGACGGTGACTTTACAGAGATTGTCTATCCCTGCCCAGATGTGTTCAGAATGCAGGAACAGGACCTGTGTTCACTGACCCTCAGGAATGAATCTGCTGCTGGGGACATTTTAGCTATTTACACCCAGCTGGAAGACACGGAGTCCCTCCACTTACATCACGTGGCCCATGGCTTGCCCATTTTCTTGCACTCCAAACCGCTCCAGTCCAACAAGCGTGGGAAGGCCAAAGACAAGATGGTTGTGGTCAGAGCTGGTTTTGATGTGGGAAGGGTATTTGTGTTGATTAGGTCAAGTCAAGCTTTAAAAACCATGTTAATTAGTGTTAACATATGCTGTTTGGTATTATTTCCGTTTCTGTAGTGAACTTTGTTTTTCTAGTCCATGTGGATCACAATCAAAATATCCATAGGATCCTTCATTACACAAGTTCACTCACATCTGTATGATGGAGTGGTCAACGCTGCAAGTAACAAAGGGTTGTTTAAAATTCCTAATAGTTTCCTTAGTTTTTTCTTTCTCTGTGTGTCTCTCTGTCTCTTTGTCTCTGTCTCTCTGTCTCTCTCTCTCTCTGTTTTTTGAGACAAGGTTTTTCTGTGTAACAGCCCCTGGCTATCCGGCTATCCTAGAACTTGCTCCATAGACCAGGCTGGCCTCAAACTCACAGAGATCCATCTGCTTCTGCCTCCCGAGTGCTAGGATTAAAGGTGTGTGCTACAACCATCTGGCCAGATTCTCTAAATAGTGTGCACAATTGATTCCAGAAGGTTTGGGGCTTGTTGGTGTTTCTGTGGGACAGAGGACCATGCCAGGAAACTTGGTAAGATTGGGGGGTGGGGGGTCAGAGTCCCTGGCACCCAGGCATCCACCTGAGACAGTAGGTGGCTCCCTGCTCCCTGCCAGACTCCTGGCTTGGAATGCATGCCACACTTCCCACACAGGAAATGTGACCTATGGTCACATAGCCCAGAACAGAGTTCTCCATGCTAATGAGATATCTAGAGACCCTGAGTTTAGCCAATATGCGCCCCTTCACGGACATTCTTCCCTGCAAAAGGTGTTTAATCTCTGGTCCACCCTGAGGAGGTGGTATGCATCCATTTTCCACGATGAACAATCAAGAACCATTGAGAAGCATGGAGAAGCCCTTAGCCTACAGAGCCAGCTGCCTAAGCCTCCTGCAGAAACTCCCTCTGCGCTCCCCGACAACCTCTGCTAAGCTAAAGACTAAGAGCTAAGCTGGAGTTCCCCCCACCATAGCCCCTCAGGCCCACCCTGAGCTTCCTCCTCAGCCCAAGCGCCTCCTCTGGTCTCTGCTCTTCCTCAACACAACTTCCAGCAGCGTCTGGATGTCCGGGAGTCTGAGAACCCCCAGCCCCGGGCTCATCCTCAGCCTGCAGGCCCACTCAGTTCCCAACTCTGTGACCCAGTGGCATCTGGACGTCCAGCAGTTTTGGGAGTCGCCAGCCCCAGGCTCCCAATCGCAGGCCTGTGGACCCCTAACCCTTCGTTCCCGACTCCATGCTATTTCCAGCGGCTGGACACTCCCCCTCAACCCCCGCCCCGGGAGTCAGGGACACTCAGCTTCTGCCTCCCACATCCTCACATCCTAGGCTGCGTCTACCCGCCCCCCAGCGGTATTTCCCCCTGAGCCCAGCACTGGACAGCAGCGGTGGCACAGGGTAAATGCAGTCTAGCATGTCCACATTCTGCCTGCCTAAGCAGCTGGGCTAAACACAGAACCACAGCTGCTCCTGCTGCTGCTGCTGCTATTATTGTTTCATTTTTTTAAGGATTTGCATTTTTTTGAAACAATGCCTCACTGTAGTCTGATGTAATCACAAACTTAAAGCAATCCTCCTGCCTCAGCCTCCTAAGTGTATGAGAAACCTTGCCCAATAATTCTTTAAAATTTCTTTTTAAATTTTAAAATTTTTATTATATGTTGTTTAGCCTACATGTTTGTACACCACATGCCTGCCTGCTACCCTCAGTCCAGAAAAGGGCATTGAATACCCTGGGACTGGAGATAACAGGCAATTGTGAGGTCTCTATCATGTAGATGCTGGGAATTGAACCCAGGTCCTCTGAAAGAACAGTCAGTAATCTTAATCACTGTATTAGTGAGGCTTCTCTAGAGAACTTATAGAATAAGTTAGAGAGAAGAGAGAGAGCATTTACTAGGATGACTTACAGGCTGCCGCCCAGCTAATCCAACAATGGCTGCCTAGGAACGGAAAGTCCAAGAATCCAATAGTTCAGTCCACAAGGCTGGAGGTATCGGCTGGATTTTGGTATATGCTGGAATCCTGAAGAAGTAGGCTTGCTAGGGAAACGAAGTAAGTTTCCCTAAAGAAACTTCCCTCTTCAATATCCTTACATAGGTCTCCAGCAGAAGGCATGGCTCAGATCAGAAATGTTTCTTCCTGTCTCAGAGATCCAGATTAGGAATAGACCTTTCAATTGAGATAAAAGAGGTAGTGAGATTCC